GTGAAACCTATTTTCCTGAAATTTTTTTTAACAGACAGATTTTATAAATTTCAACCAGCAGCAGCAGCAGCAATGGCTACTCACTCAGTCAATGAATGCTGAATGTTTCCTTATAAGGAAACAGCTAATATTACTATTAGCATTACCATTATGATGAGATGTAATTTGACCATTTTAAAAACTTTATAAGAATATGTTAAGGTATTTGAAATATTTAGGTTTGTATGTTTTGCAACTTATTACTCATTGTTGGTCTTGATAAGTCTGATAAATATCTAAATATTACCATACTGCAAAAATGACTTTGTTAAACAATTTTATTGTATTTTATTTTTACAAAAAGAATAATAAAAAAAGTTCTTAATTTTTTTTTCTCTGTTTTTCAGATACAATTATTGGGATGATATTTAATATACAAAATGGTTGCAATTTAGAGCATGTCATTTCTAAATTTAATAATTATTCTTGATGGTTAGTCGTTTTTAGATACAAATTTTTTTTTAGATCATTATTATCCTAATTTAAAATCAGTATTTATTTCTTCCTGTGTATGGCAATGACCTTCACTAATTTGGGACTGCTTACAGTAGAGAGGATCCAAGATAATTTTTTAAATTGACTTATTAACCAATTTCATATTTGAAATGTCATAAGTTTGTTATTCATTTTAACTATGCACTTATTAGATTCTACCAAAACACTTAGTGTTAAAATTACAACTTAGTCTTATTTACATTGATAACTGTGTGTGCTGGAAAAAATTAATACTTTATATTGAGTGATAATTGTATTCCAATACTTGCTAAGTGTCAAATATTAGTAAAAATAAAGTGTATGTTAAAGCAAATACATATATTTTTCTAGTCTTTAATATCGAAAAACAAATCTCCAAGTGAAAAATTATATCAACCAGTTTTCTTTGTGATTAAAACCAATTTAAATGTTCATGAATAAGTCCTAAGTACTATTCAATGGTTAGTACTATTCAATGGTTTTACTGGAATCATTCTTCCAAATTTTAACCCTTAAAAATTTGATAAAATCAATCATAATTACCTGTTTATTACACTTTTAATGATTATTAATTGCTATTTTGAAAATTTAATTTATGGTCTTTATGCACTTCATGTAAACAATGCTCTTGCTACAAATTATATTTACTTTCAAATTTTTTTTATAGATTTTGTTTTAATTTTGTTATTTGTAGTTAAAAAAAATCAATAGCTGTAAACATTGTTTGTCATTTGGATTTGTACAGTTAATAGAAATCAAATTGTTAAAGAAAGGAACTTAACTTACTGCTTGGAAAGATATGTTGATGGAACATTTCTTATATAAATGAAGTCCAGTCTTAATGGCTGACAAAACCAGTGCATTAACTAGTGTGCAACAGTGAGTACTTCAAAAATATTTAACACTTTCACTACTGTATTGTTATAGTATTGTTGACTGACTGTTCTGGCTCTTTCTGGGAAAAATAGGAAATTGGCATTTACTAGAAATAAAAATTACTATAAAGATGCGGAGAGTGATTTCTAATGGGCACCATCATTTTGGTTTTGATTGGATATTCTGCAGTACATGACCCCTCAACACACAATATAAATGACTCTGCTAAATGGCAATCCTAATACACAATATAGATGACTCGACAGTATGACACCTCCAACACACAATATAAATGACTGCTAAACACCCCCAGTGCACAATATAAATAATTGCTAAATAACAATCCCTACACACAATATGAATAATTCTGGTAAAGAACTCCCCCAAGGTACAATATAAATGGCTACTAAATGACACCCCCCAACACACAAGATAAATGACAACATTCCTAAAACACAATATAATTGCTAAACAACACCCCCAAAATACAATATAAATGACTGCTAAACAATACCCCCAACACCCAATATAAGTGACTGCTAAGCTATATCTCCAACACACAATATAAATGACTGCTAAACAACACCCCCAATATAAATGACTGTTAAGCAACACCCCAATATAAATGACTGCTAAGCAACATCCCCAACACAATATAAATGACTGCTAAACAACACCCCCAACACACAATATAAATGACTACTAAGCTATATCTCCAACACACAATATAAATGACTGCCAAACAACATCCCCAACATTCAATATAAATAACTGCTAAACAACACCCAATATAAATGACTGCTAAGCTATATTTCCAACACACAATATAAAAGACTGCTAAAAACACCTCCAACACAATATAAATGACTGCTAAGCAAAACCCCCAAAAGACAATTTGGCTGTTAAATCTATTTCCATTTTTGTGTGTGTGCACGTGCGTGTGCACCCTATATATTTGATCAAGTTCACCTGGAACAAAGCAGTAAACCACTAAGACACAAGGAGTTACTGGGTGTGGAAGAGTTAAACAGAAATGTTACTGAGAATTGAGAACAAAAGAAGAGTAAGCAAGAGGACAGTAGATAGCCATTGACATTGCATTTAAATTTTTGAAGGATAAAGTTGGCTGGAAAGCATGAAGATGAAGTGAGAAGTGTGAGAAAAGAAACTGTTAGCATAGAATTTATGGTTATATCTAGCCAACTCAACTGTAAATTGCCAGTCTAGTGCAGCACTTAAATTCAAAAAATCTAGGTACCATAGTGAAGACCTCATCTGAACAATTACTATGAAAGTATTTATAGAAAAGGCACAGGGAAGCAACCTTATGGCAGTGGGAAAGTGACTGAAGGTGAGATGCCAGATCAGGATCAGTAATATTGCTGATTCTTCTTTGGATTTTATCAAGGAGCTGTAGATAAATAGCAGAAGCACTGGACCATATGTGATGGTACTATTCTAAGCATGTGCAAATGGTAGTCTTATAGATAAATTCTGAAGAGAAAAATTGTCTGGCACTACACAGCAGCTGACCTAGTAATCAATTCAATATAGACTTTCCTCTTTATGTCAGACGAGAATGTTAGCCTGAGAAGGTGCAACAAGTAATACATCAATAAGGCAATGTAAGTTTTGTAAAGATGTAAGCACGTCTTGAAAAAATATATATTCATCAATATAAGGCAATGCAAGTTATGTAACAATGTAAAGTACGTCTTGAAAATGCATACATACAGACATCAATATAAAGCAATGCAAGTTTTGTAAAGATGTATGTTCATAGCAGTGGCAGTGTTAATAAGCTTATTTAGGGCCACAAGTCAGGAGGAATACCCAGTGAAAGTTGGAATTTCTTACTAATCCAATTATTAGTGATGGTGCTTTCCTTTTGATTGATTAGATTTTTTTTTTATAGATAGAAACCAACTTTGGCACAAAGCCCTTAATGATGGAGCTGCCACTTAAGAATGAACTCAGTATAAGTCACATGCAAGATTACCACATTAACCATCACTTTACAACAGGTGCACTTTACTGCTTGGGAATAAGGTTATTCTTAACCAGCAAAAGTCATTTTATATCAGTTTTCAAAAGTTTTTTTCTTTTTCATCAAATGAGAGTGTCATGCAAAGAAGGGCTAAAACTACTTTGTTGAAATACTGTTAAAAAACAACCAAATTGAAGAAGATTCTTGTCTGAAATAGTCATTTTATAAGTCGCCATTATGTTTTATTTAATGCATTTTCTATTTTTACAGATATTTTCTGAACATATATTTTCTATGTATTTAGAAAACAACATTTTGATTTGTTCCAAGAACAACTTAATTTTTTTAATTGGTGATTTTATTTATTTAAGATCACAATCTCTTAACATTTTGATTAATATCAACAGAATTCTTTCAATAACCAACAAAGTAATTTTCTTTGTGCAGAAACAAGTTTCTCTGTTTCTCTTGCATGCTGTAGATATGCAATATTTATATGTTGAATATTTATCTCTACTATTTCATTTTTTTAATTACACTTTTTTCTGGCAAATTGAATTTCATTTCCAGTTCCAACATTTATTTCTTGTGAAGAAGAAAAATATTTTTGATAACTTAAAAAACATCTTTTATATTTGAGATGAAGCATCATTTGCATTTGTAAGTGAATGTGCTTATTTGTTAATTCCAAACTGTTATTCTTATATTTATTTGTTTTATTTCTTCTTAGTATGTCCTCAGATCTTCAACAAGTGGACGATATAACACATATAAACTGTGTATACTGATTCATCCTAGTTTCAGGAGAATTCATATAATGTTATTGTTGTTATTATCTTATATGTTTTGTATTCATTTATTTGTATCAGCCATTTTTTCAGTCTACTCAAGGACAAAGCTTCCTCCAAACTTCAAAGACAAGGGTAATAATGAGCCTTTCCCTGCATCACTGGACCATAGTGCTTTCACAGGGTGTTTGAATTCAAAGTTATCCTTCTAGACAAGTTGCCTTCCTAAAACTAAAGAACCATGCTATTTAATTCATAGCAGGGTAGGGGTCGATAGGAAGAAATTAATTCAAGCCTTTTTCAAACACATTTTTGTGAATTAAACACAAGTACCTGATTTCATTGTCTGATGTACATCTCCATCTGATGTGTAGTCTTATTTTTGAAGAGTTTTTGATGAATTAAAATCTTGGCAAGTTAATTTAAAATAAAAAAAAGATTGTTTTATTATTTCAGTTATTGATAGATTTTGAGAATCATCCAGAGAATTAATCAAATCAATGATGAATATTATCAAAAGCAACTCAATTGAAGAAAAAAAAAAAGCTTGTGAGAATAAAGTACTTAAAAAACAAATACTTGAAATATCTTTATTGTTTATGATGTTTATTATGCTGCTTTTGACCTCACCCTTTTTAAATAATCACACTGACCTTTCATATTGTTCATTTTTTCCTGGCTAACAGGTTGGTTTTTCTCTTTCCTGGGACATTTGACTTGCCCAAATCTTTAACACACCTGAACATTTTCTGCCTTTCTCTGTGTTGTCAAACTCTTGTCAATTCTTTATGTCCCAGGCATTCAGATATGGATCCTATACCTTTACTTTATTTCAGATATTGATCAAATAGAATATCAAAAGGAAAAAGATCTTTCAGGTCCCCTTACTGTACCATTACCCGATTCAAGTAAGTATTTCTTAGAAAAGAATGTGCAAATATGCAGCACATTCTTTAAATGGCCAAGTTAGTGCACTAGGCATGCAGTGTTTAACTGCCTTAGAGATGTTGTATGTGGCACATTCAATCTGACACTAGGTAGTCTAAAAACCTGGAAAGGCTAGTATTCTTTTCCTACACTTAAATCTATCAGTGTCCTTTGCTCAATTTTAGCCATAATTAAAGAAATATAACACATTTTCAGCACTTCATTAGTTTATAAAGGAATTCTATGCAAGTAGTATTTAAATGTCTGTGTATTTATGTTGTAATTCACTATACATTAAGTCAGTTTTTCTCAACTGTTTAAGCAATGGCACACCTAGGAGCAATTGAAAATATCACAGCACACTTCACAAAATTTTTAAAGGGTATACATTTAAATGTTATGAAATAAAACCATAGATTAAAAAAAAAAAAAAATACACACAAAAATATGAACTTTATTTTAATGTTTCTATAAAACTATTTGTGTAGCTTATTTAATGTGAAACCTGTGCCTGGTGTTTTTTTCATGATTTCTTCAATGTTTGATTGAATATGACAATTTAAAAGTATTGCATGGTATGGCAGTTGAGAATCACTGCATTAAGTCTCAAATTCTATTTTTTCTCAAAGTCTATCCATATCATCTAAGAAATAATATTTTATATTACCTAGATTTTATATTAACATTTTGCCGCTTAATATTAGATAATAATAAAGTTGAAATCTTGTTTAACCAAAGTAAACTTATAAAATTGTTACTTTAAAAAAAAAAATCTTATTTTTGTGGTTTGATAACTAAAACGTTTAAAAATAAGCTCAAATACTGTGAATTATATTCTTATAATAATAGTAATAATAATAATAATAATAATAATTAATAAAAAAAAAAATTGTTCAATGAAACAAAAAATTGTTCTCACAAGTACAGCCCACACCTTATGAAGGGCTTTATCTATGTAAAATAGGTGTTTATTTTTTTAAATTGGTCAGTGGAAAATTTCATGATGCTATTTTTAACCTTAGGTCTCTAGGCGGGACCCGGAAAGAAATGTGTACACACCAGAAATCAAAGGAAATATAATAATAATAATAATAATAATAATAATAATAGCAAACAAATTGAATGACATATATATTTCTTAGTTTAAAAAAGAAGAGAAGAAATACTATATTTTGGAAACAGAAATGTTTTTTTATAGGAAATTAAAAATTTTCTGTCTGTAGCATGATCTAGTATAATATTAACAATTCCTTCTGAATAAAGTATAAAGATGATGAATCTAAATTACAACTTAAAATTATTTAATATTATTTCATACTGATGCCAGTAATTTTATCTTATAAATGTTTATGGTCAAGTGAATGATATTAACATAGTTATTAAGATTCAGTACAGATTGCATTGTGATTCTTAATCAAAACTGGACTTAGTTTCGATCCATCAATCAGTTAATGCCATACATGATGCACGTTTTATTTTGATTCGTGACTGATTAGGCAGAAGATTTTTCCTGCGCTAAGTTGCCATTTCTTTCTGCAGTAGACTGGTTGCCAACCAAGGCTATAGTACCCAGTCTATTCAATCTATACCTGAGAAGAGAAGAGAAGTGATGTAGCTGCCATACCTTTCCCAATAGTATTTGTGTATAAGTAAATATAATGAACCTGATTGGAATTGGAACTTGGTTTTTCAATTTCTCTTTCTGAGCTGATATCCATTATATCACAACTCTCATTTCAATTCATATTTTCTAAAAATAATAAATTACCTTTAAAATTAAAAATTGAAATTAAAGCTCTCTATTATTGAGCACTTGTGATAATAATGTGCTCAGCTGTTCTTTATGAAGCCAAAGTTTTCAGTTTTGATAAAGTGAGTTTGGGATTTTTTTTTCTTTAATTTTTCAATTTTGGTTCAAAGTTATATTTATAGAATGTTAAGAAGATGACATTTTAAACTATCTCTTTATCCATTGTAAAAACTAATGTATTTGAATATGTGTTAAATTTGGAGGACACTTTGTGTAGCAACAGTACAAAGAATGTTGATTATAAATGGGAAAAGATATTTGATATTTCATTCATAAAACAGTTGACAAATCCTTTATATAAAAAGAATATTTCAATATAGAAAGCATACTGGTGTCAGTGATTTATTATTCTGTAACTTCTAGAGAAATTGAAAATTCATTAGTCCCGAAGTTGTACTATTTTATACATTGATGCTTACAACAAATATTAATATAGATTTCTTTTAGATGAAGGGGTTAATATGCATAACAGAATAACTGAACCAATACTGGGTACTTGAAGCAAAATCTCAAACCTGGCTTTACTAATTCTGTCTAAATTCTCAAATATAGAAAGAAAAATCAAATTATTTTTCAATCAGTTTGAATACAGATAAAAATTTGAAACCTGTCTTACAAACTATGAAATATTTTAAATGGAGGAAGAAAAAAAAAACAAAACAAAAAAAAAAACAACTTACAAACTTTAACCCATGTGTGTATTTAGATATTAATTCCTTAATTTTGTCCAAGAAAGTTTAAAAGGGAGGTAATTCTGAAATAGTCAGCTCCCTTGCAGCAAACATTTTTGATGTCGAAGCAAAGGACAATGCAAAAAATAAAAACAAACATTTATTTATATATTTTTAAATAAAAAATATCAGAGTATTGATAGGAACTTCAAAATAAAATGTCAGATGTCTTAGTTGCTCCTCTTTTTATTGCTTGATTATTATATATATATATATATATATATATATATATATATATAATTCCTATGAGATGTCTTTTCCATTCTGTTGAGCTCCAGTTATTGTGATTTTGTCGCTTAAATCCTTTTCAATTTCATCAGATGACCTCATCAGTCAAACTTTTCCTTTTTTGATTTTAAATTACATTCTCTTTTCTTTTTGTTTCTTTTGCATCCTATTTAAGAAGGCATCAATTATGCTGTTATTTTCATCTACTCATGCAATTGTTTGTTTTTCTCTTTCTTTTTATGTCTTTCTTATTTTTAGAAGATAAAATATGCATGTGTCATGCTCATAGCAAAAATACATTTTCAGTTATTCAAGTTTCCATTTTGGTCATGTTGCTCTCTATATGATATTCTTTCATTTTTCTTTCTTTATCTCTCTCATAATTCATTTAAATTGAGTTTCTCTTTTTTTTCTCTCCTCATATGCAATATTCAGCTTCCAAGTGCTTGCATTCTGCATTGTTTGTGATGTAGATTTTATGTATAAAAAAAAAAAAAAAAAAAAAAAGGATCCACATATATCCTTATTTTTGAATTATAATATTGCTTGGGTAAAGTTGTCTTGTGAAATTTTTAACTTTCTCTTTGCTTAAAGGTCATTTCTCATTCTCTCACACTTTTTGATGATGATCTTGATCTTTTAAGTACTGTTTCAGTACTTTTACTATTTTCTGCTTAATATTGTCATCTTTTTCTTTTCAGTCATCTTTATTTCTTGGTTTAAAAATTTCTTTTTTTTTCTTTCTTTATACACTGATTTTCTGTTTTCTTTTCTTTTAATCCTTGACCCCATATTTTTGCTATTTTTCCTCTTACTGTTGCCTCATATTATTATTTTCAGTTTTCATTTTCTTTTCACTTTTTTACTTTGTCTTTTTATTTTCTTTCTGTTTTCTGTGAGGTTGAAAGTACAATTATTTTTTCACCTGTTTTATCTGCAATTTAAAAATAAAAGTTTATTTATATATATATTGTTTTCAAAACAAGCAGCTTTTTATTTATACTTTTAATGTGATGTATTATATCATATTTATCATGTTTTTCTTTTGTTCTCTTGATTTTTCTTATTTTTTTCCTTACTTAAAATTTTGTTGTTTTGCTTTAAAAGTTTAAATTTTAAAAAATATAGTTGGAGACCATGAAAGTGTTTTTTCCACCTTTATGCATTTGAGTAATACTTTTCAGAGCATTAACTTTATTCACTGTGTTATTTTCTACATTATTTATCCTTTGACAAATTATATTATACTTTTGTAAAGATATAATGAACAAATGAAAATATTTACAAATACATTGAAGGGTGAGGAATGTACAATATTTTATTTGTACTTTCATTAACTTTCTCATTTTTTTTCCATTTTTACCATTTTTTTCTGTTCCTGTGGAAAAAAATCCTGTTATAATTGTGATTTTTCTCTCCCTTTGTTAGTTCACATAAACATTATGCCCTGCCAATATCTCATAAATAATGGACTAATATGTTTTGATTGCATAGAAAAACAAAAGACATACACTACTTGGTTTCAGTGACAAAATGAATGAAATAAAGGAAAGATAGAAGTGTTTAAAGGTTTTTTCAGTGAATTGGAAAAGTTGTCAATTTCAAATCTTTTCATTTCTACCCACTTCTTAAAATAACAACCAGCATTCATATTTATAATTGTGAATGCAATAATTTAAAGTTGTTAAGCTCAAATATTTAACAGTGTGATAGGAGAATTTCTGTGGATATTTTATTGTAGAATTCACCATGAGCCTATTCAGTCAGTTATGTACCATGCATGATACACACTTAGCCAATCATGTATCTTTCGATACATGACTGATGAAGCAGATTTTTCCTGTAGTAGGTTGCCATTTCTTTCTGTGGTAGAACAGTTTCCATCCAAAGCTATAAAACCTGGTCTGTCCTGCTATTTACCCATAGGGAGAAGAAGAGCATTCATATCTTTTCCACTGATGAGGCAGATTTTTTCCTGCAGTAGGTTGCCATTTCTTTCTGCAGTAGACCAATTGCCATCCAAGGCTAGAGGACCAAGTCTGCCCTGCTATTTACCCATATCTGGGGGGAGAAGAAAAGGATTCATACCTTTCCAATGGTATTAGCACATAAGTGAATGTAATGGATTTGACTGGAATTTGAACTTGGCTCTCCGATTCCTCGATCTGGGCCGCTATCCACCATGCCTCCCTCTTCAGTCATTAACTATAGAATTAAAATTCATCAGAACTGTGAAATTTTCACAGGTCTTTCTAGTAATAATTATTAGCTATATACAAGAAAATGATAGCCATTTGAAAGTGTTATATTCCATGCTAATAGGAATATATACTTGAAAACACAGTGGATAAAATAACTAAAGGTTTATTATAAAAACCAGTACAATAAGAAATAAGGTAACAGATCGTCACAAGTCAATCCAGTAGTGAGTGCTACTATTGGAAGGTCGGTAGTTCTACAGTAAGTTTGAGTTGTACTCATTAGATCCCAGTAGTCCATTGACTTACCAATAGTTATAGGTATTTACTACCTATAGTATAGTTACTCATGGGGAATGACAGGTTATTCTATTACATCAGAAACCCTGTACAATTTAGCAAAACTTTTAAAGGCACAATTATGTTGTGCTTTCAAGAATATACAATTTTGGAATATTTGAAAAATTGTTTGCAATTGTCAAATTGTACTATGCATAATTCAGTATAATTTAAGACATTTGAATGACTGCTGGAAAAAGAAAAATGTTATTAGTACATTTAGGAAAATTTGAATCAACACTGATAATTAGTGACATGATTCAACTGCAATAAAATCATAAATGTAAATCTAACATGATAACAATTTATTTTTTTGCAAAATCTTTCCAAAGTTTGGTTATAATCTACAATCTTAAAAATTCCAGACTTTCTTGAAATTCCTGCTTCTACAAAAAGTTAATGTTACAGGAAATAAATGGCTCATTAGTTTCTAATATTTTTAAAAAAATCTACTTATACTTTCTTTTGGTTTAATTTTGCATATGTGGCTTGCTTAGTTTCCCTATCTTTTATCTGCTCGCTCTCTCTCACTCTTTTTTTTAAAATTTTTAAACACATTTTCAACTGATCATATGTTAATAGTCATTTACAGATTTCTTAATTATTTTGGGATAGTATGCTTATCTTGTCTGTTTCCCAGAAGCTGAAAATTATTTCCATGTGTAAATTAATGAGTTTAATTTATATGTGAGATAGGAAGACTACTAAAGTACTTTAAATTTTGGTAACCACATTTAATACCACTACATTATTCCTGTTTGTTCATGAAATTAAATTATGTTCTTGATTATCAATTCAGTGGTACATTTAGTTAAATATTTAATCTTGATATTTTTATATTACCTTACAGTAACTGGACATGTGTTGAAAAGAAGAATCTAAACTACTTTATTATGCATTTGAATGAAATTTGAATACAATTAGCCAAAGTTCACTAAATATTTCTTATTTTTCCTTTATTAATGATTATGGCAAAATAGTTTAATGGGCAGGAGACCAGAAAATGAACCTGTTGAAATGGGTTTATTTTTTTTTAACTGATAATTTAATTTTCTGTCAATTTGGGGAGGAGGGGAGGAGGGAAGGACTTGACTTCAAACATCTATGCAGTTTATTACACTACCAGTTTGAATAGCATGTTGGTTAAACATTGTGAAAGGAATTTGGCTAAAGATTTATTACCTCTTATCTACAAAAAAATTAAGAGAAAAGAAATAAATTACATTTGGAAAAATCAATGAGAGTATTTTTTAAATTTTATCATTGCTGATGTTGTAAATAAATAAATAAATAATAATAACAATAATAATAAGAAGATTATGTTTTTATATGGCATTTTCTGATTTGCATATAGAGAAGGTATAAGATGAAAATTTGTTAACAAAATAGAAAATTTTGTTTCAAACAAAATGTTTTATATAAATAGTAAAAAAAAAAAAATAAAAAAAATAAATGAAAAATGTGGGAACAGAAAAAAGTGTTTTGTCACTTTACTGTTTTTATCCATGAAATAAAAAAAATAGACTATTTTGGACCTTTGTATCTGTACAATATGTTATGTCAAAAGGACTGCTTTTCCTTTGACACTGCTATTATTTTAACTACCTTCACTCCTTGGCAATGTTTATAATTTGTGATGATTAGAATTAAACTTAAACATGATGAAAGTGAATTTATATATTTTTTGTTTTTGAGAATTTACAACAAAAATTTGAACACTATTAGATTGTTTATTTACAAGTATAATTTTATATTTATAGCATTCTAAAAAACTAATACAATTGTACTAAAACTAATGCAATGTAATACTTATCATTTACCAATTTATAAAGAGATAAATATAGAAACAATTTTTCATCCATAAATTTATAAACATTTACTAAATTATTAAAATATATGAACCAACTATAAGGAAATCTTTATTATTTACCATTTTATTAAGTTCAAATCAATTGATGTTTTGCCAACCATTTCAATAAACAATTTAATAAATAATATAAATAAATAGGGTTTATTATTTTTGTTGTAAATTCTCAAGAACAAAGAAAATGTATAAATTCACTTTCATTTGTTTAGTTATTATTAAAATTCTAATCATTGCTTTTTAAAGCAATAAACATTGCCAAGGAGTGAAGGCAGTTAAAATAATAGTTGTGTCAAGGGAAAAACCATCCTTTTGATGCACTTTTTTTTTCTTTTTTTTTTTTGTGAGCATGAAGGTCCAAGATTGACAAAAAATATATTTGATAGTAGAAGAAAATGTATGAATGTTATGACTGAGTTGGGATGAAGGTAAGCAGATATTGCCTTATTTTGTTTTTGTTTTTCATTATTATTAAATATGTTTCAAATAATCACTATATAATTGCCATAATATTATTCTGGTTTTGTATCTTTATTTTCAGCAGTCTCCTTTCAAATGATCTATGTTCAATTCAGTACAGTAATGTGTAAAACTCTTTGGTCACATTAAACTATTGTAAATTTGTAATAATTACCATCATAAGGAAATATTTTGCATTGTGTTTTCCACAGATTAAAAAAATTGGCCCTATTTGATTAATTACTATATGTAATTATCATATTTTGTAATAGAGACGGGAAAATGCAAGGTGACCTCAAAAATGGCTGTGCAGAAAAGATTTTAACAACTCTCCTAAACCAATCCAGATGAAAACAGAAAAAATATCTATAATGAGAATTTATGACATAATGCACATTTCAAGAAGTTACTGTACATTGTTAATATTCCATGTGGCTTCCCTTAGCTTGAATATTTGCTTCAAAGTGCCCTGGAATGGAGGTGTATAAATTCTTCATCACAGGTTTGAGAAACCATTCTTTGTAATTGACCTCCCACAACTTCTCAAGATTGTATGGATTCTTCTAATGGAACTATTCTCTGTAGTTTTGTTTACATTTGTTTGATGATATTTCAGTCAGGATTCTGAGCTAGCCAGTATTTCAGTATAGTGACACCTTCATCAGCCAGGCTGTGTTACAGTTTGTTGCATGGAGCTTTGTCATGCTGACTTCATCTGAGTCAAATGATCCTTCATCAACTGGATGTATTTGGCACTAATATAGCAACAACTCTTAAGCAGAAGCTTATGGAACTTTATTTGACTAATTTAGTTTTAGTGCTGAAAACGTTTATTTTATTGTGATGGATGGTCACAAGCAAGAGGGGAGATGGGATGTACTACTTATTTTATTACCACAGGCACTATTCATGCTATCATCACTTTTAACCAACTTTCTTGAACTAAGACTTTTTATGAATCTACAAAACACCAAACTCTTACTCCCAGACTTTATTATTTTTGTCATGTAACATGAGTTGTTTTGATTGCCTGTGAACCTTATGACAAATTCTCACTTCGTAGATTGTTGTTCCATCCTAGTTACATTGCTGAATGTGATCTTATTTCAAGCATCTTTGTCCTATAGTTCATATTTCTTTGACCAACTTAATCTTGCCTTCAAATGCATTTTGTTTAATGCTGCTTGATTGAGCCAAAAGACATCCAGCATTTCGAAACATCATGATGATATCTGAAATACCACTTCTTGAAATTCTGCTTAGCTATTGTTTGCTGGCACATATTCTTGGTTATTTTCATTGTCTTCATATGGGTTTCTTTGAAAAACTTGGTCATGATTTCAAGCCATGACAATACGAGAGAAACTCAAGAAGGTCAGGTGATCAAAAACTTGCAAAGCCATTTTTGGAGGATACTTCATATCTTCCCTTCTCATTCAGAATGCCCCTGCTACAAACTATGATGATTAGGCATGGAAATAACTCTAACAAGGCCAATATTTTGAAACATTCACTTCTAAACTGGCAATTATAGGAAATTTACAATAGTTTAAAGTGGCCAAAGTCTTTTCCATGGTACTGTATGAGAAATAGATTTTCTTTCATCTTTTCTAATTACTGCTTCATATTTTTCAGATAAAGTTCCACCATCAATCACCGAGCAACCTGAAGAATTCACTTATATTCAAAAGGAACAAAAATTAGAGCTTCCTTGCATGGCTAGTGGCAACCCACAACCAAAGTAAGTCTATCGTTGTTAATATAGAAGTCATGGTCCAAATGCAAAATAAATAACACAGCTATCCAGCAAACAGAATTAATAATATTTACTATAGAAAGAAAGAGGGGCAAAAATTAAATGATATCAGGCAAGCAAGCAAACAATATAAGTAAAGTAAATTCACAGGTAAGAAAGCAAAAAGATTTATGAACCATGAATTAGCATCTACACAGAAAAGCTAGGTCAGACAAGTGAACCCAATGATCTTCCATATAGACAAGGTAAATCAAGTCAATCTGAGTCAAGTTGTAAATTGACTTATTTTATTGACTAAGAAAAGTATCCTGGCAATGCATTTTGTGTTTTTTTTTTCCTGTAGAAGGGGAAGGGGGAAATTTTTGCAGTCATTACCACAAATTGGAAATCAAAGGTCATAAATTATTATTAAGGTTTTGGGGACTTATAATTTGGCCTATATCCTTTTTACGGCACTGATAATGGGTGTAACTTTTTTTTTTCTTTTTCTTGTTTTGATCTTTTATATATCCATTGACTTGTAACTATATGACTGGTGCTATATGAAGGGTGCTTATTTTTCTTAACTAAATATGTTTTTTTGCAAAAATTATTTGTTTTATCAGATGGAATGTATCAGAAACAAACTTTTGCAAGAAGGCATTATTTCTAAAATGTAATAATATTTTTTTTACTTTAAAATTCTTGAAATTTCTTTGTCAGATATTTAAAAATTTAACAACAAATATGACTATACTGATATTTCACTGACTTTCATTGATGTAATTTTCTAATTTACTCTTGTGTAATGAGTTTATATATATTTATGAGTTTATATCTTTACTGTCAAATACCTTCTTGCTATCAAAATATATTGCTGTATGTTTTGGTTTGATCTTAACTAAGTATTATCTGATGATATCTTTTCAACATCAATTACAGCTGTTAAACATGCTTTCAATTTTGCTGTTTCACTAGCTTTAATTTGCCTTTGCATTGTTTACCATCTTAATTTTTTCAAATATTAGAAAAATACATAATTTTACATACAGATTCATGAAAAAAATAATAATTCATAATTTATCATTACTTTGGATGTTAAACTAATATTCTAAATTGTATTTTGCTGACAATGTGAATGTTCACACTTTGTTACTCAAATCTCCACTTTTGAAACAAAAATCAAACTCAACTAGAACTTACAAAAAAGAAAAAATGGCAGCATTAAAATATTTTCTTTATTATTATTATCATTGGAGATCCACGCCAACTCTTAGATATTTTGGCCAGGTGATAATGGTCATATCTCAACTGGCTGCTGCTTAGATGCACAACATCTCTTTCAATCAGTGTTGCCATTTACACACTCCTAATGATGTCAGATGTCTCAAAGGCATCTTGCAAGGCAGAAAGATTCTTGGGAGTAGTCCCAAGTGCCAATCACAAAGGGGACAACTTGAGCTGCTGCCTGATAAATTTCTCTGATTGCCCTACCAGGTATTGGTACCTCTGTATATTTACCAGGCCTGCCTTTATAATATTCTTATCCAAAGGTATTGCAACATCTATCAGGATCCCTTCATGGCTGCTCTTGTGCACAAGTGTGTTGTTAGGGAGATCACTCTCCCATTACTTGTCATTCAAGATAATCGTATCCCACTTCTCTTGTTCATTCTTGGCTACTGATTGTAGGGAATGCTTGTACCAATATTCTGCACAGTCAAGACCATATTTTCTGCATTGTTCCCAGTGTATTCTGAGGGCTACATTGGCATGGCACTATCTCTATTCTTTTTTGTTTCAGTTGAGTGTAGCTACACAGCCTGCTGTTTTCTAAATAGAATACTTGATAGACTTTACTCTTGGAGCTTGCATTTGCACTGCATAGATGATTCCTTCAGTTTCCTTTTTTAGGAATCAGTGGTGGTGATGGTGGTGGGGGATTATTATTATTATTATTATTATCAACAACAATTAAGATAAGAGTGTGATTTAAGAAAAGAAAAGAAAAACTGTTTGATAATGTTAAACAATATTTCAACAGAATGCCTGACTTCAAGTTATATGAAAACAAATTTTTCAAGTATAAAAATATATACTTATAAAATATAAATATAAAATTTATGCATGAAAATTTAAAAAAAAAAGTAACTTGAAGACAGTCTGTTGAAATATTTTCTAACATTGTCAAACACTGTGTTCTTTCTTTTCTTTATCTTCCTTAAATTGCTCTCTTAACTGTTGAAAAATATTGGAAGAGTTACATCAATTATTTTGTTTATTATGATTTTCATGGATTTTTGTTGTATACACATTTCCTTTCGGATCCCAACCAGAGACCTAAAGTCAGAGATGGCTTTATGATATTTTCCACTGATCATTTTTATAACCCCCCACCAAAAAAAAAACCCCTAAGATCACACACATTTTCTATAGATGAAACTCTTTGTAATGTGTGAGCTGTACTATTTTTTGTATATCTTTAAGGCATAGGCTACCAAGAATCCCTTCAATGAGTCTATTGGAACCTTTGCCAATCAATCCAAGGGCTACAACTACAGCTGGAATTATTGGTGTCCTCATGTACTACATTTTTGAGATGATTGTATTTTCATAGTTTTTTTAAAGATTATTATTATTATTATTTCATTTAAATTCAGAAGTATAGAGCATATGAACCAATTCAAATTAAAAAGTAATTAAGAAGGAATATATTAATTTAAAAGAATCATGTAGAGTTAATCCCTTCCCTGACACAAACGTGTATATACATTTTTACTGAAAGTGTCTTTTTCAGACACAGAGAAATAAATACACTCAAAACAATGTTCAAAAACTAGCTACAGATGTATTAATACATTGATCTTGATTCTTTTTATGCTCTTCTGAGCTTGAAATATGTCCCATGGTCAATTCATATATCTGGTAGACGTGTTAGCCACTGCTCAGGTACTTCAAGGTGCTTCAGTTTCTTAATTACTATATTAAAAACAAATAAAAAAAATTAATTTGAAAATGAAACATTTTTCTCAAAATAATTGGTGGGTAAGGTGTTAATATGCACCAAATTCTTTGTTCATAATGTATAACATTTTATCATTACTTTTCTCTCTAAGGTATACTTGGTACAAGAATGGAGTCAAAATGGATCTCAACAGTACACAGTACAAGGGGAAAGTTGTTCAGCGATTAGGAATTGGCACCTTAGAATTTCTAAAACCCACTGTAGATGACTTTGGAGAGTATCAGTGTTTTGCAGAGACTAAAGGTTTGGGGATATCTGTATCTAACAAAACTCAGTTATTATTGGCTGAGCTGGGTGCTTTTCAACAAACAAAGGCAGTTATCAAAAAACCACTAACTGGACAGAGTTTGAAATTACAGTGTATACCACCCAAGGGTACCCCAACACCTACTATCAACTGGAATATTTTGTCTCAGTCACATAGCAGTTCAGATGCTATGAGGCCAGTTAAGTTTGATAACCGAGTCTCTATGGATTATAATGGTGAGTAAGCTTGCTTTGTTGTCAATTTTTGTTATATATTTTGTGTTTGTATTACTTTATGGTTATAACAAATGAGTATTTCAAACAATACATTATAAAGATAATAAAAAAAATTGATGGGTCTTATGTTAACATGTGTCTAAATCTAACTGTAATTATATATTTATATAAACCTGTTAAATCTTATTGACTTGATAATTTAATAAAAAATATTTTTTACATTTTGTTAATGTTTGTTAATCATCATCAATGATTTTTAATCATCATCATTACTTTTATTTTTCAGGCAACTTATATTTTGCTAATGTTAAAGAAGAGGATTACCAGGATGGTAATAAGTATGTATGTTCTGCCTACAGTAGATTTCTTCGAATTCTCAGTCAAGGTTTTGACCATATCATTAAACCAGAGGTAGTGACAGGTAAGAATCACTATTTATGAAAAACTTCGTCCATCATACATTTTTAAATTATAAATGATAAAATTAGTACTGAAAAACATAGTTAATGAATACTTTATAAATGAAGAAAGCATGGTTGTTTTTGTTAATAAAGATATATTTTAATATTCAATATATTTTTTAAAAACCAAAAGTGGTTAATAAGTTTGACATATCTTCTGATTACAATATTCCACTCTTTTTCTTAGAAACGGCTTGTAAATTTTAACAAAATGAAACTGCTAATTTTTAGTCATTTTAGAGAACCATTTTTGTCTTTTATCAGCATGGCTGATGCTAACCTCCAAGAGGCCAACCCATTATGCCTTGTTGGTCTCAAGTTTTCCACCGACATAAAGTGAATGATTATATTGAATTGATTACCAAGTCTACTGCCAAGAAAGTTGGTTTATTGTGTTGTGCCAGAAAATTTTTCTCACCAGAATCCGCCTTGCACATTTATAATTCTACTATTTGTCTGTGCTTTGAATATTGTTACCACATCTGATTTAGTGCCTTTGCTATATATCTCTGAGATTCTTGACAAAATTCATAATTTCATTGTCTATCTTAATTAAGAACATACCTTGGTGAAGCAGGTTTCACAATGACTGCTTGTGAAATTTTTGTGTTTTTACCGGATGTATAATATTTTGTTTTTTTTATATGCTGTAACTTTTCCTGGTCTTTTTTCTTCATAGGCAGTGACAAGCATCGAGGAGTTGCTATAGATATTGATTTTGCAGACTCTTTTTAAACGTATTTTATATATATTCTGGAATGCCTGTGAAAAGTCCTGGAAATTCTTTTGTACATTTTTTATAGAATTCACCCTCCTTGGTTAAAAGCTTTCATTGCTTGTGCCCCTTAAATTCTCAAGAACAAACAAATCCTGTTTAGACTTTGCTTTTGGAGTTTCTAATAAAGCCTCCACATGGCCGATAACTTTTATCTGGTGGTAACCGAGTACATACAGTTGTTTGTTACATTTTTTGATAATTAGGGAGTTTTTTCTAAAATAACTATTGGGGACTACTGTTACATCTGCTCCAGTATCCAATTTGAAATGAATTACTTTACTACATAGCTTTGTAGTAACTTTAACTTCAGCTTGCCAGGCTTCTTCCGTGACTGCACTAATTCTATCATTAGTAGCAATACACCCCATGGATGTAGTGTGGTTCTTCCTTCAATTGTTGAATTGCCAGTCCTACACATTTTTGCATAATGCCCTTTTCTTGAAAACTTTTGGCAAATTGCATTTTTGGCAGGACAGTCATTTTGAGTGTGAGATGGGATATTGCCACAGTATATTCATTTATTTGTACTGCTTTTAAGGCATACTATATTTTGAGGCTTCTTTTTCTATTTCTTTGGTGTTACTCTGCTAACTTTATCCTTTAAAAACTTTTTCCTGACTATCTCATCTTTAACCGCTACAAGTATTTGCAGCCTTTTGCTAACTGCCAGAGCATAGTGACATACACCTCTATACTCTGAAGCTTCTTGTTTTTGAATATGAAATTTATAAGCTTCATACACTTCATGGGTTTCTTCAACAAAAAATTCTTCAAATTTAGTTATTACTACTTCCAAATTTTCTTTATTCTCTTCATTATTGAATTTCAACTCCTCATAAATTTTGTATGTGTTTTCTCCTATTATTGACAAAAAGACATGTTTAGTATGTACTATCAGGTTCAGGTTCTTTGTTGAGTCGACTGGCTTTTGAATGATTTTGAAAATTTCAAATAAACCTTTTCCAGTTAGTTTCCAAATTCCCTGATAAAACCATTTTTGTGCAAAGTTGGACATTTGCCATAAATTGCTTTTGGTTATTGTGTCCTTGTTAAGAATTTTGTGCAATGGACAAGTTGTTTTTCTTTTTTGTTTTGTTTTTACTTTAAAAACTGTTCATAGTTTAAATGCAAAGAAATTTGGGAGGGGGGGAAATAAATGACTTTCCTTACAATTTCTTGTAAATTTGCTTTTTTTTTTTCTTTTTTTCTTTAGTCCACTTGTATATTCCAATACCTTTTTTTTTTCTTTTGGACACTATATGACATAAGTTCTTCCTGACATCATGTGGTGTAATTTAAGTGTATTAAATTACAGGAGAGAGAAAGAAGAGAAGATGTAGTTTTTGTCTGTTTGTTTTGATGTCCAAATTTGTTAATGCATAGAATTTATAAATCTGCCCCTCCTCATTCATGCTCCATTTTATAGTGAAAACCAGTACCATTTCTTGACAAGGGAGGTAACTGTGGATTACACCACAGTTACTACCTGTTACTTCAGCTTGCTTATGATTCACTGAGATCAGAAAGCAGACGGACGAACGTGCATACACTGCACTTTATTATTATAGATATATCTGTGTGTAAATGTTTACAAGAAGAACCCTTGAGAATAGGAACCAAAAAAAGTGACAAAGAGTTTTCAATTTTACTTTTCACACTACTGATATACTAATTATAATGAACATGTAATTGAGTAGTTTTCTATACTGTCATATCACATGTGCCTTCAAGTTTGAATTATGACTGATGACATGAGTGCTTTTAGAAAAAATATGAATCAACTTTACTCTGTCCTCTGATATCAAAGTGGTTTTGTCACTGGCATGCCATAATAGTTGATAGAAAAGAGAATGGTTACATGAGCATTGGGGCAAACCACTCTTCTCTAAATAACTACCTTTCATGTTCAGGAGTGGCGGTGATGGTAATGGTTTTAGGAGGAGGAGGATGAAAAGAAGAAGGTGGCTGTTACTATCAAATTGACAGGACAACTGTACACTAATTAGTTCAAATGCAGGTCTTGCAAACTATAAATAGAAGTGAACTGTGTCTTGAAAACAAAGTTTATGATATCCTAAAAGAATATGACATGAAAATTTATTGTTTCCTAATTTACAAAACAGTAATTATTAAGCAATAAGTAAATTATACTTAATTATATTATATATATTATTATAATATAATTATATATATTATTATAATTATTATATAATACATATTATTTCTTTGGTTAAAGTTTTGAAAGTGATGCAAATAAAAATAAAATAAATTTAAATACTTATAAAGGATTGAGTAGAAATCAAATAATAATTAAAAAAAAAAAAGTATATGTAAAACTAATTAAATCCTTTCAAAATTTCCTGACATTTTATTTCAGGAGGTGCAACTAATGAACCTGTGTCATTGATGTGGCACTCTGAAACAGATATTAAAGTACTCAAAGGAGATGATTTGAAGATGAAATGTATTTTTGCTGGAAAGTAAGTATTTATTTGCTTAACTTATTATATTATTAAAACATATCCATTAAATCAAACTTTTGATTTTGAAAATGAGTCCATTGCATTTAATTTGAAATTATCCTTTACAGTTAAAATTTATTCAACACTCCTTAGTACTTGGGAAATTGAGAATACTTTTGCTGAAACCATTTCCTTATTTTGTGTCTAATCTGGGTTGCTTTCACTCAATAATTTCTAAATGACATTAGTATGGACCAAAAATTTTTATTCTTATTAAACCCTTCATTATTGAAAATAATAAAAAACAAACTTGACCAACTTGGATAATATTTTGTCTTTGGAGAATGTTTTAAATGAATCTAAAGAGAATAATTTGGTTTCTGACAATATTTACTTTGATATATAATGATCAAATTTCTTTGAACACTTGAAGTGATATGGATTTTAATTTATTGTATTATTCTGCTTGTTTGTATATACATGGCTGTTATGCTTTTTCTATCTCAGATCACAGTGTAGTGTCTACCTAATGAGCTGGAATCAGTTATCTAACCAAGAAATCTATATAACAATATTAAGGGGGGAAAAATTATGCAAAGTGGGGGAGAAAAGAGTGTTATAAAATGGTATCATAAACGGACCCGAAGGCTGCACCCAGCATTGATTGTGACTATGTTGCTTCTGGCCACCGAAACTAAACATAGACCAAACACTCCTGGGTTACCAGGTGTGAACCATGAGGAGGAGGAGGGGTGCAATCATACGTAGTTATTTTCTTGTCCGACACATTTGGCAGAACAAATATGAATATATGTCTTTGTCAGCAGTTTTGGTTGGTTTCACACTCTCTGAAGTGAATCTGTTTTTTTTTTGTTTTTTTTCTCCAACGGCAATCACCTAGTGGTTCATTGTGTCTGGCACAGAGGAGTTATTAAATAACTCTGGGGAGTGTGATATCTTGTTTCTTGTGTAATCCTAAAGCTGGTCCTCAACAATGAATCTAGGCGGACAATCTCTTCAGGACAAATGACCACTTCATAAAATCTAACAATAATTTATTGATGGGATTACAGAAACATGTGTCATCTACACATCGAAGTAGTAAAATGGTGATTCTGAATATTTTGAGGTTTGGTTCCATTTTACACTTTTACCAAATTATAGAAGTTTTGTTTTTTCCTTGCTATTCAATTTTATTTGATACGAAGATATAGAAAAAGAATGAGAAAAGAACAGGAGGCATGAGATAACAGGATAGTCTTAGTTTCAATGCCTATGGATTTTTTGTAGGTCTAGCTTATATATATACATTTTCACTGTTTACTCTACATATAACTTTGAATGAAAGCTGTGTTTTGTCTCATCTTTAACCCCTACAACTATTTGGCTCGAATTAGTCTGTCTTTCATATCCCCAAAACTGCGGTCTTCTGCAAACTGCTGAAGCATACTCTGAAGCTTCTTGTTTTTGAATATGAAATTTATAAGCTTTGTACATTTCAGGGTTTCTCCAACAAAAAAAATTCTTCAAATTTAGTTATTACTACTTCCAAATTTTCTTTATCCTCTTCATTATTGAATTTCAACGCCCCTCATGAATTTTGTATTTGTTTTCTCCTATTATTGACAAAAAGACATGTTTAGTATGTACTATCAAGTTCTTTGTTGAGTTGACTGGCTTTTGAATAATTTTGAAAATTTCAAATAAACCTTTTCCAATTAGTTTCCAAATTCTCTGATAAAACCATTTTTGTGGAAAGTTGGACATTTGATAAGAAGATACAGAAAAAGAATGAGAAAAGAACAGGAGGCATGAGATAATAGGATAGTCTTAGTTGTCAATGCCTATGGAATTTCCATAGGTGTAGCTCATATACATTTTCACTGTTTACTGTACATATAACTTTGAATGAAAGCTGTGTTTTGTTATATCTCTTTTTTTTTATTCTCTAAATTATAAAATGTTTCAGAGTTGATTTATGTAACAATTCTTTTTTTCCAATTTCAAAAGCAAATTTTAATTAATTCTGTTTATACATGTATCTGTAATATAAGTAAAAATAATTGGTCAGCTTTTAACAAAATATTGTAACTTCATTGGATGAAGTTTTTTTTTTTTATTTTAGTTTCATGAGTGATGGTATGTATTAATATCAAATAAATCATTTTTTCTGCTTGCTCATATAAGGAGGTATAGGTGGCTTAACCATTAACAGCACTGAAAATGGAATTGTTAACCTTGAAATGTTCAAACTCCAGCTTTCACTTTATGGCAATGCTCTTGGGAAAAGCATAAATCCATCTCTTCCACTCATCTAGCTATGAGTAAAATAATAGAGTAGATTAGGATTTCTTGCTTTGGTTGGCAATCAGTCTTAGAGAAAGATAAAGGACAACTTTGAATTTAAAACCAGAGGTAGAATCCACTTTTCCCTCAGCTGATGGTAAAAATAGCAAAAAAGTAGTGAGTGGTGCTTGCAATCCCACCCTGTAAAAATCTTGCGAATATATAATCAGCATCAAAGTACCAATATGATCCAGAATATAAGGAAAAATTTCTTGTAAAAAGTGTTTTTATGATAAATAAAGTAATGAGCAATTTGTTAGATTTAGCCAATTTAGCACCATCATGCTCACGTGACACTCATTAGGGGGACACATATTTCCTCAATGAACAGTATATCTATTATGTATCAAGGAAAGTCTTCCTGAAGGAATATAACAAGGCAGTGTTGAAAAGTTTTCAGCCTCACAAGCCAAGAAGGATTTAAAAAAAAAAAATGGACAAAAGCATTCTGATGTGTGATCATTTGTTCAGATTTGGGGAAGTAGGCCAGGCTGAAAAATTTTCAGCATCCTATCTTAATAATCTGCTCACACATCCACAAATGTCAATATGTTTTCAACAAATAGCAAATGATATGAAATTGCTGTCCTAACATTTGAAAAGTGATAGCATAAATGTCTAGAATAATAATGTTAACTTTTAGAATTGAAACTCCAGGTTTTAAAAGCTCAGACATGGTTAAATGGTGGCATATATATATATATATATATATATATATATATATATATATATATATATATAATAAACTGAATGAGATCAGCTTGTCATGTCTGCAGAAAAAAAGAATGAAATTCAAAAATTTTAAATTCAGCTCTCCCACATCTTCAGTGTTCACCTCAGTATATAATTATAAGCAATATTCATGTTTATATCTACCCTTTCCTCTTCTGCACATGTATATTTCCATCAATAATAACATCACTTTAGTCTGATGAAGTCCATCTCAAACACAAAATATGTTACACAGAATTTTTCCATTTTGTCATTCAATTCAGTTCCATTTCAATCCAATTTTTCTAGTTTGTCAATTCACTCCCAGATATTTATCTCTATTAAGAACAGCATTTAAAGTTTTTCTTTTATGGAATTTACTGTAATCTTAGACAAGAGTTATTAATTTTATGAAGTGGAGTAATTAAAAGCACATTTGTTTTCTAATTTCTTATTGCAGCCCCACACCAAATGTTACTTGGCTCCGATTGAATGGCAAGATTCCTGCCAGACGAACAGTCAAAGGTGATAGTGGATTGGAGCTAAGAATCAAAAGAGTCCAATATGAAGATGCTGGAGAATATGAGTGCGTTGGAAAAAATAAGATTCTGGAAAGACAGCAAACTAAAAGATTTACAGTTAAAGTTGAATGTAAGTATATAAAATGAAGCAGATTACTAATCAAGTGAGGCAGGTGAGATATCAGATTGCTTAAATTTTATGAAAACACCCAACACCTAATAGATGATTATAAAAGTATTCTGTAAAGAGTATAAGTTGGATTTTTATTGTTTTCTTTATACATATCTGTTTCTAACATTACTATCAGTGGTGAACAGGAGTAATTTTTTTCATTTTGTTTGTTTTTCATGTTGCTAATTCAAATTGCTAATATTATATGAAATTTTCATTGACTCATTTCAAAAGATTTTTCAGTTATGATGAAATCAGAAATAAAAAAAACAATGGTGGCAAGAAATTTGAACATTTGAAATTACTCTAGCTGAAATGATGCCCACATTATTGTAAGAACTGCATTATAGGTAGTTGTGTTGACAATGATCAACCTGAATTGTTTGTCTTTTTTTAGCTTATTTAAATTATTTCCCTTTATTTAATGTGAGTGCATTCAAATAGGAAGAAGATTTGAATGCATGCAGAAATTTATTTCAACTATCATCCTCATCTTTTTGTTTGTATAGATAACATTCAATAGTCAAATAATATTCTATTTATTAATAATATTTATTTTATTTTTTTTGCAAAGCCCGTCCATACTGGGATGAGGAACCAGTCGATGTCACTAAAGGAGTAGAAGAAAATGTTACATTTTCATGCAAGGCTCTTGGCAGACCAGAACCCAAAGTTAACTGGTTTATCAATGGTGAACCTTTTGAAAGTAAGTTTGTTTTTTTATTTGAAGCATTCAACTAATATCTGTTAATATAACAATATCATTGATGTATTAGGCATCCATGTAACAAAAGCACACTGTCATTTAGGGAATAAAGGGAAAAGTTTTTATAGGATGATTTTGGGGTGGGGTATTACCATGCAAAATATTTAGGTTATCTTTGAAGCACATCTAAAAATAGATAAATACAAAATTCTTGTAAAATGAATCCCCCCAACTTTCTTTTTTTTTTTCAAATCATCTTGCTTAGGAAGTGAATAGAATTATGCTTTGACATTTTATTTTTTATACTTTATAGATTTTTTTTCATTAAATATGTAAACCAATGAAATAATATTCAGGGACAACATTACAGCCTAATTATAACATCCTGCTATATCCTATTCTTAAATTTTAATTTGGATAGTGCTTTACCATAGCCTGTAAAGCTTATTGGCAACCTAAAATAATTTCACAACAAATTTCTGAATTAGCTGATTTGTATATAAAAATAATTTAAATGTTTCCTTGCAGCATTCTGAAAACACACACACACACACACATACACACAGTTGTTCAAAAAGTAATGACTGTTCTAATTTAATTTTATTCCCTCTGTATTCCGTTGGTAAGAAGTAAGTTCCACTTGAACAGCTTTTTTCCCCACAAACCGCTTCTCTGTGGAACCAACTCCCAAGAGGATGTTTCTCTAATCACTACAATCTTAACCTGTTCAAGTCTAGAGTTAACTATTATCTTCCTCTCCTATCTGCATAAACTGCCTCTTAATGTAACCCTCTACCTCGCTGGGCCTTGTTTAGGATGAAAAAAAAATAATTTCTCTCTTTTTATTTATTGATAAAATATAAAGTGGCTAGAAACCCAGGTGAAAATTTGTAAAGTTACCTTCTATTTTCCTATCTATAATTCTTTCAAAATTGCTACCCCTCTGGATACATGTAGACAGTAAAGAGCTGTTATAGAATTTTTGTTTTGGGAAGGAAAATTGCTGCAAACATTCACAGGAGGTTAGGTAATGTGATGTAAGCAGCCAAGAAACTTCTATGAAGTGGTTATAAATTCTCTTACTCAAAGGTGGAATACCGTGATTAAGAAGACAAGAGACTGTCAAGAACTAGATTTGAGATTTTGAGAATTTTGTGTTCATTTTGGTATGCTTTATGTGTACTTTTGATGTTAAATCTACTGTATGAATTGGCATAACTTTGTGTGTTACAAAGTCACACACTTAGAATACACAAACACACACAAAAGAGGCTGAAAAATTCTCAGTTCAACCCACTTCTAAAAATCTGACCAAAGCTGTGAATTTTTCAGCTCCATTTGTACATCTGTTTACTATATAAAAAGTCAATATTGTTGTTATAGATTTTATTGTGTGTACTTTATAAACTCTATAATTATTTACATTATTTATAGTCAAACTAATCTCCTCATCTTTGTTATTATCACATTTCATTTTTATTAAATAGTAAATTAATTAAAAATTTCATGAAACTGCTCATGGTCTTATGAATCATGAAATTTAAAACATGTTGATAACTCATTTTGTTTGCTTTTTTTCTTTCAGAGCCAGCTGATACTTCCGTGGTATTCAAAGATAATACTTTAACATATTACAACTTAACTAAAAAAGATAGTAAAGTCATTCAATGTAATGCATCAAATAGCAATGGCCATATTTGGGCTGATTTCTACTTGAATGTTCTTGGTAAGTTTAAGGGCTTTATTCCTAATATAATGACAATATAATTTAATGTCTTATAAATTATAAATGCAAGCCATTTTATTATTTAGAAAAAGGACCACTAGTTGAGACTGTCAGTTTTTGTCTTGATGTATAGTGAGATTGGTCCAATTGTGGTTTGCAAAATCCTTTTGAGGATTTCTTTGTCTATGAATTTACTTAATCATAAATCTGGTTTGATATTGGCTGAAACCTTTAGTCAAGAATTAAACTGGATTTCAATGTCTTTTTGTGTAAATTGCCACTGTATGTCCACGTTTATGCTTCACTTTTCCAGTTTTATTAGCAGTGTGAAACAAAAATCAGTTGCATATTTAGTTCCTAGATTGTCTATTATTTACATGTAGACTATTATCTTTGTTGTTGTTATCACAATGTTTTGGCTGCTGTGCCCTCTGGCCCTCAGCAAGTGCTTGTTTATCCAAGTAACCTTCAGGAATTTTGAACTGAGTTCTTTATTTAATCTATGGACGTAGATTTATTCTTGTTACTGCCCATGCCCAGGGATATCTTGTATCTTCTATTTGCCATGCCTCTTCAGGATGTTGATGATAATGGCTCTATACAAGTTCTTGGTCATTATGGCTCTTAGTAAATTTTGTCTTTTTGCTATCTCATGTAAACCCTTTTCTTTAGAACATTGCCCAAAGGAGCCTTATTCATAGAAACTCTGGTGAACAGGCTCACTATATTCAAGCTCACTATCCAATTGCTTTGGATGGGAACCCTTAATATCAATTCCACAAAGTGTTCTGAGTTATTAACATATGAGAATTTCCCTGCTAGTGGATTGACTATATGACAGATGGCATAATGAGTGACTGCAGTCAACTATAGGTCTCAATGAAATACCCATTTTATGAATACATCTGTGGCAGCTTAGTGTAACATTGAGTCAGCTGTCTATACTTATTCAGACTGAAGTAGTCCTTATTCTTATTTAGGATCTGTGACAGCTTCCTCTCAGTTTTAGGATCAGATCCTTTTTCACCTTGCTTATAGCTACCATCCCTAACTAGACTTGCCAATTTTAGGGGTATTCCAACTTGTCAATCATCACCATATCATTGCTTTTGTCACTCTCTAAGGTCTTGACTGCTGATCTTTCTTCCCTTGTAATATTTGATTTGAGCAGCTTAGCCTTTTCTAATGCTTGTCTCACTTTCTCATTAGCTTGGGCCTTCAGGACCTTCAAATCAACCTCCTCAACTGGAGCTATTATGTCTATGTATGAGACATGTCTGATGGTTGTGGTGAAGTTGATACACTTGTTTAGCACTGATTCCAACATAAGCACTCAACCTCTGATTGCTAATATTGATAACTGCTGCTGGACCTTGTGGTTACTCCTACTCTGTTCTTTCATTTGTGCTAGTTTCCATATTTGACAAGCTTTGACATTTTCTAATTCCTGATTGTATGATTTATCCAGGTCTTGCTGGATTCTGTATTTGTCTAAGTCAAGTTTTATTTTGCTAAGTAATAATCCTTGTCTGTTTGGTGAGTCTAAGATTGTCATTGTGCTGGTTGACCATGATAGTGCCATAGAGCACAATCATTTCTCTGAAAATGATGAAAATAATTTTCTTTCAATTTTATTTCTCTTTGTAGTTTAGTCTTACAGAGGAAATTCCTGTTCCCTTTAAATGTTGGGAATTATATTAAACACTGTAATCTATTAATATTTTTAATAATTGTTTTTTGGTAATTTCTTGTTGTTGAGTTTTCATGGCAATAACATTCTTTTTCAGTGATCCATTTTGGAAACTGGATGGTTCTCATATCTACCTTCTTCTTGCTTTTCTATACTTGATTACCTCATGTTAGAATAAATTTATCAGTTAAGAGATATGACTTAATTTTTGTAATGCTCTTGCATGAATTTCCATTTTTGTAGCCTTCTTGGGTTTAATGTCGACATAAATTTATGTTGATTTATTTTGCCTGTTGTCCAGTTCACACTCCTCCTTGGCCTTTTGGACAGGTGTAGATGTTTATCCTTTGCTTTGTTTCTTGTTTAGAATTTGGTTTCCGTTTTCTTCTAAAGTCTCATTCTCTTTCACTTCCACTAACTGGTTGCTTGGGGTGAATTGATTTAAAAAAAAAAATTACACAATG